AGTCAAGGCAAACGTCCAAAGAGCCGGACGCCGCCAGCCAGACTCGCAGACAGATGAATTGGGAGACAAGTGAAGGCAGACCTCCAAAGAGCCGGACACCACCAGCCAGACCGTGAGAGAAATGAAATGGAGACAAGTGAAGACAAACATCCTATAAGAGCCGGGCACCGCCAGCCAGACTGCATGGGAGACAACTATGATTTGGGAGACAAGTGAAGACAGACATCCAAAGAGACGGACACCACCAGCGAGGCTGGGAGGTAAATGCAGGAAGACAACTGAAGCCAGACTGGGAGACAAATGGGTTGAGATGAGAGACAAGTGAATACAGACGTCCAAAGAGCCGGACACCACCAGCCAGACGGGGAGACAAATGAATTGGGACGCATCTGGAGAGCCAGACACCACCACCTGGAAAGAGGCGGAAGCCTATCAAGAGAGAATTGAGACCCCCAACAGTAAACTGTTTGGGGCATTATTTTCAAGCTCTCTAAAATTACAATGTGTTCGTTCCCAAAACATGTCGAGAAAACTTGTGCTTTCTTTGGCCTGCTGTGTTTCTTCCCGCCTGTAAAGCCGTGGCACATCAAGCGAACTAACCTCCGCAAGCTCGAAAATCCGCAGGTCGTAAAAGGTGTCTGAGACCCATGCAAAGGCAGCAGAAGCGGTACTTGAATCAGAATGCTTTATAGCTATGAAGCCATCTTCGCAGGAATAGTTGATGCCAAGAGACTCGTTGGTCATGTTGAAGGCCTGTCTGGACAAGAAAACTCCACATGATGGATTTTTGCCGATTGTTTCTTGCAACAAGCTCTTGATTTTGAAGGGTTGTCGTTCCAGTCCCATTTAGGATTTGCACTAAACCGTAGGAACACCTGCGGCTATATTTTCACTAGCATTCGCAGAAAAGCGTCTGCTTGGAGAGCTTCTGGTTTCACAGATTTTCCCTGTTGATTGTAGCACCCTTCTGTTGCAGTTCCACTGGTAAGAGCATCTCAGGGGCATTACGTTTTCCGCATGTTTGCGTGAAGTTGCACTGTGCCAAACCACATAAGTAGCTTGATTCTTTCACTTCTGTGTTGAAGGTGTGGGAGGCAATGGTTTGTGCATTTTTGACATGTTGATGCGGGATCTCTGCTCACTGTTCATTTCGAAAAAAGCCTCTGTCTTGCCCTCAGAAGGGGTTTAGTTATCACTTGGTTTTCGTTCGTGCAAGAAAACAGGAACAGTGCAAACATCGTCAGAAATACGAAACTATTTCCACATTTGGCTTGTGTTCAGTTATCACTACACGAAAGGAGGCAATCAAAACATACCTGAGTAGGATGTATGTGTCATCTGTGAGCATACAGCGTCAATCAAACGCATATTTGAAGAAAAAATGCTTGTTATCCTTCAATGCACAAGGTCAATCAAAGTATAACGCGAGAAGGTTTCGGGTATAGTTCAATGCGCGGTACCACTTGATAACATGGTGTCTAAACAAGCGGTTTCCCAACCCGGTGCAGGGATGCTCCTTGAAAAGAGTTAAAGGACTTTAAAAGTTTCTAGGCAGCAAAATGCCAAATGCTTCCATCTATACGGGAGGTCAAATTAGTCTGGACAGCCCCTCGATATCAACGAAACTGTTTCCTGACTGCTACAAGAGTCAACCCTTGGGAATAGTAGTGGTTTAAATTTAAGGGGACAGCCAAGCTACAGGCACAATCACAATGTCTCCTTTCATCGCATTTTGAAGCGCCCAGCTTGTGTTGACCTCTTCAAACCCTGCGCTGACGAGATGAGGTCCTGCTGTCTTTGCAAACTCACTCCAAGCCCAATAGCACTGCCCGAATGCATCTGGCTCATCATCCTGCCATGATTTGAAGGGTCAAAATCGCATACTTCCAAAACCAAACCCACTCCTAGCAGGCTCCAACATTCCAAAGCCATGACTGTGTTTTGCAGGGGTTCTGAGGGTTGGTGGTCTGGCTTCCCTATTGAAACATGCCTAACCGATCGGACATACACCCTGTCAGCTTAAGAAACAACAAGTCAATTCAAACCCATTCATAAGGTCCAAATCAAACCAAAACCAGACTTGAAATCAGAATTCAAATAATTCAAGTCCTGACTGCACATTTTCTGTTCGCGGAGTTGGCTTCCGAGTCCAGCTGCTCGCAAGGCTTGGCGCACAACAGCCAAAGCCTTCTGTGATGTTTGCGCTGCGAGGACAGCTGCTTCCTCAGGTTTGAAGTCTTTGACGGCCAAAGCATTCCATAGATGTTGTGGTGCAAATCACATAGACGAACTGATGCCAGTCAAAGAACAAACGCAATAAATGAAAATGAATGTTTCGTGTCGGTCATGGCCAAAAAACGAGATAAAACGAGATAAATCTTGCCGACACAGCGGGACCTGTTTGCTTGATTTGAATATATTTGAACCGTGTGCACCCTTGTGCACCCTCCCGTCACCTTTACACTTTTGCCCTTGCTTTTGTTGTGTAAAAGCTTCTGTGTGTAAAAGGGTCTGTGTGTAAAAGTTTCTGTGTGTAAAAGCTTCTGTGTGTAAAAGCTTCTGTGTGTAAAAGGGTCTGTGTGTAAAAGGGTCTGTATGTAAAGCGTCTGTGTGTAAAAGCGTCTGTGTGTAAAGGAGTCTGTGTGTAAAAGCCTCTGTGTGTAAACGCGTCTGTGTGTAAAAGGGTCTGTGTGTAAAAGCTTCTGTGTGTAAAAGCGTCTGTGTGTAAAAGCGTCTGTGCGTAAAAGCGTCCGTGTGTAAAAGCGTCTGTGTGTAAAAGCTTCTGTGTGTAAAAGCCCCTGTGTGTAAAAGCTTCTGTGTGTAAAAGCCTCTGTGTTCAAAAGCTTCTGTGTGTAAAAGTGTCTGTGTGTAAAAATGGTCTGTGTGTAAAAGCCTCTGTGTGCAAAAACGTCTGTGTGTAAAAGTCTGCGATTGAGACATGCAATGGTTGGATTGAAAATCGATTTCTGTTTTCTGTTGAGGTGGTATGTGACTGCGAGGATTGATTTGTCTTAAGTTGGATCATACAGTCCCGTGGGATTCAAGTATGGAGTTTTTGCAAGCACGTTCTCTGTGCGAGCGGTCATCAACTGGGTGTTGAAGCGAATCGGTTGGTCGGAGCCTCAAGTGGATACAGATATGCATTTAAAGCAATGCTGTCGACATCTTTCTTCTGTGGATATGGTCCTGCATGCATTTTTTGGAGATTGTGGGTGGCATGTGACTGCAAGGATTGATTTGTGTTTAGCATGATAATACAGAACTGTTGGACATCGGCTGAGGATGGATGATTGATAGCACCCTCGCTAACAATGTGTGGAGCTCGGTTGCTTTGGTTGAAGTGAGAGTGATGATGGCAGTCACGATGTACATTTTTGAAACTTTGTTTGTGTTGCATGGGGTGAGAGGGGATTGCAGTGGATTTGCTAGTAGCTGTGCGCAGTGTTGCGGCTTTTGTTCTTGGTGGACAACATGGAAATGACAGAGATTGACGGTGAACATGCTTGCTAGTGAGCATTATCTGCATTTTTTTGATTTCAACTAGAGTGGCACTTCTCGACTTTCTCAGAGTGATAGGAGCTGTCCGTGCTGAGGAGGGTCGCAGAAACTGTTCGTGGCGAACCTGCACAATCAGTAGCCAACTGCTGTCTGTTTGTACAGTTGAAAAGTGTTGATCTACATGTTTTTGTGTGATCCAACTCGATGACAGACGATCTCATCTTGGTACGAGTGAACAACTATACGCATGATCGTGCAATCTGAAATTTCCGAGGTGGCTCTTGCGCCAGTTTGGTACCGGCCTGGGTTTTTGATGGATGTTTTTGGTCTTGAAGTAAATCAAATTACTGGAATGTGTTCAGCGCTGTGCTGTGCACTAAGGTTGGCACTTCTGAGCCACGACGTTTCACTGAGATTTCAAAGCATCATTTCGTGTTGGTATGTGTTGTAAAAGCGTCGGCCTGTAAAAGCGCCTGTGTGTACAAGAGTCTGTGAGTAAAAGCTTCTGTGTGGAAAAGCGTCTTGGTGTAAAAGCTTCTGCGTGCAAATGTGTCTGTGTGTAAAAGCTTCTGTGTGTAAAAGGGTCTGTCTGTAAAAGTGTCTGTGTGTAAAAGCTTCTGTGTGTAAAAGCCTTTATGTCTAAAAGCGTCTGTGTGTAAAACAGTATGTGTAAAAGGGTCTGTGTGTAAAAGTGTCCGTGTGTAAAAGCGTCTGTGTGTAAAAGTTTCTGTGCGTGTAAAAGCGTCTGTGTGTAAAAGCGTCTCTGTATAAAAGCGTCTCTGTATAAAAGCGTCGCGTTTCTTCACATCCACGGAATGATGGTGCCGAGCTTTTTCGGCAATGTGTGTAGGAACTACCATAGTAAAATGAGATAACACATGTCGTTCGCAGCATCATGGTACCGAGCCTCCTGTGCACTTTTGTTGCTCACATTATATTTCTCCATGTTTTCTTTCTACTAGTACCCCCCTTTCCTTCTCTCCCTCTCTCTCTCTCTCTCTCTCCCCTCCCTCTTTCTCTCTGTGGTTGCAAGACACGTGTCATCTGATGCCCTTTACCAAGTATCCTCTTCTTAATCAATCTTACTTTTTCACACCATATCCTTCCATAGCTCATATAAAATTCACCAACTATTCACCGACTATCTTTTACGACTTTTTCGCTCTCGGGCCAACCGTCGTCTAGTTTAAAAACCCTAGGCTCAGGCGCTCTCGGGAAAAACTCTATCCTGCACACAACAATTCCTACACAACGCCTTCTTTTTCACGCTCAACTATGCTTACCTGTATCATAATAATCTTAATATATTTTAACACAGACGTTTTTAAACACACCTGCCTTCGCAACACTCAGTTTCAACACAAACAAGCCTTTTATAGACCAACCAACTTTTATTCCAAACAGCCTTCCCAATCAAGTGTAGAGCCAACTCAGGTGTTTCAATTGGAGTGAGCTACCAGTAAGTCGACCTTTCTTGTTGAACACATGTCAAGAGCTTCCCTTCAAGCCCAGCGCTTGATATGCAAAGAGTCCACATATTGATCAATGCGCCGCTGCAGGTTCCAGGTCTGTAACTGGTCTCTTGCATCTTGAAGCAAACCTGCAGCACTCAAAGCATTCATTGCAACTGGTAGCTGGCCAGGCTGGGGAACACTACAACTGCTTCCATCCACGAGTGCTTGTGACACATCAGCAAAGCAGCGCCAGGCAAAAAATCGCACTGGCTGGGGAAACGCATTTTCATCTTCAATTTCTGGAAGGGTAACAGTGGTTGAAAATCCCCGTTCGCCACACACTTTTGACTTCAGTCTGCCCATGACAGTCAGGTCGAATCCGATTGCTACAAGGTCGCAACATGTTCGGTCGAAAAGGTCTGAGAGATATAAGAAAGGTGCACTAAAGCGAACCTCCCTGGTCCAGACTGAAAAGACTCCAGACAATCTATTGGGAGACGACACGTAGCGCTGTGGTTCGGAACTGGTTTGCAGAGGAAACTGAACTTGAAGCCTGTGTTTGGCAAAAGCTCTGGTACCATTCTTGAAAATGACGCTGACATTGTAGTCACCCGATTCCAATAATGGTGTGTAACAGCTTGCTGTTGGACCAGCCAAGAGGAATCCTGAGCACGACACACCCACGCAGCATGATGCTATCGAGCAAAGCCCAGGGAATTCCAAGACGCTGCGGCGATAAGCCGTTGTTCGAAGCGGCGAGAACGTCACTTCATCTGTTGTTTCAACACATTGTGCATTAGAGCGATACTGAAGCCATGCAGTGAAGTAGGTACACGTCTGATCTGCGACTTCTGAGACCCTGATGTTGATCTTTGTCATGAATTCGGGCAACTCCCCCGCTTCTCCCAGTAGAAGAATTGAACGGCCTCGCTGGAGAACTGGACGCATTAAACTTTGAATTTCCTGGCGCGATCCACAAAGCCGTCCCAACAGCACCACAAGCTCAGTCTCTGGATCAACAGCTGGCAAAGAAATGTCCGCAGGATTCACGCAAAAGTCTTGGGATGGTTCTGACTGCAGCACATTGTTTAGGAACTGCTGGGCCTCTGACACTGAGCTTAAGCTGAATCTCAAGCTATTTCGAAATCTATCATGCAGGGTGGCACTTCTGCTTGAGTTGAAGGAGGCTAGGAGTTCAAGCATTGCAAGCGCAGCCAAAGCTACACGCTCGTCATGCAGCGTCAAGATTTGCATGGAAACTAAGTTCGTACCGTTCACTGACCTGTTGTCGGGTGAAAAGTCCAAGCTAGCACCAGCGAAAATTTCGAAATCGCAAGTGAACTTTGGTACGCAAATGACTCTCCCCATTTGCCTGGCACCTGCAACGATCCATCCAGACAGCCGGTACAAGTTTTGGAAAGGACATGAGCCCATGAAAACAGCAAGGCTGCCATTCTGATATTCGGTCCGGATGGCAATAGTGGAGGAGTACTCTTCGAATCGGATACGGATCGTATCGCACTCAGGGTGCAAGAGTGATGGGGACCATGTCACAATTGAGTTTTCCAACGCAACACGGTAAAAATCAATGGAGCTTTCTGAAAAGCAATTCGCACAAGCACCTGCGATTGGTACAGATAAAGAATATTCATTGCACTGGTCACACGCAGTGCCGGTAAAGGGCCAACGGCAACTGCATCTGCACAAATCGAAGCCAGTAGCATTTGCCATAGGTGGCCCCCATGCAGTGTGTCTTGGGAGGCCGTTGCCGCTGCAAAGCTCTTCTTGGCAACATGACACCCACAGGGAATAGTTGCCTGTGTCGGTTCCACTGCTGTAAACCGTTACATCATAACAACGGCTGCTTCCAAGAGACGAAACCTTCAGCTCTGCTTTCTGACCGCATCTCCCACAGTTTGTGCACTGCCAGCGCTCACCACTTGGTCCAGTCACGGTGAGCGATGTGTCAATCGAAGAGCCACAAGTGCTGAAGAGAACTTCCCCCAGTCCGAGGCCATTTGTTTCTTCAGGAGTGCAAAACGTGTGCTTCTTGAAGCCGTCATTCAGAGAGCCTCCCTGGACGATGGTTCCACTAACAACGCTGCCACATACCACAGGGACAGGCGTAGTGGTGGTAGTGCTGGAGTTGCCAGTTCTGACGACTACTTCTCCGGCACAAACCAAACCAATTGAGCTTGCAATCAGCTGTCTCCATTCATCTGTTAGGGAGGATTCACTGAAACTGCTTGCGTAGTATGTGATGCGGCCCTTCTCATAGGGAGCTGTCCAAGCAGCGACGGAAGCACTGCCATACAGTCCATCTGTGTTGGCCGGCAGCTCTTCTCTCTGGACACATGATCTATATCTGCTGGGGAGACTGTTGGGCCCTGCTGAAAATCCACCGCCCTGCATCTGTAGTGCTGCTGACTGCGGACAGAATGCTTGTTCAAGACTCCACCCTGTGATGTCACGGATGTTTTGTATATCCTCGAAAACAAGCAGGTGAATGCTTTGTCCGATGAGGCCATCAACTAATCTGTCTCGCACTTCTACGCCAATGCGGAATGCATTTGCCAGTATAACTTGGCTGTGGTTCACTAAAGGGCTCTCTGGGCCAGTGAATGATTGTTCTGCTTCATCAGACGAGCCCCAAACAATGAGAGGATGGGCAAAATCACGGATCCCATTCAATAGTTCACCGTCCCAGAGGTATGTTGGGCAAGTGATATTTGATGCCGTGATAGATGTACAGGTCACCGACAATGAATATTCGCCCTCGTCCCACTCAGAGATCCCACCAACAATGATGTCGTAACACTCCCCAGACCTGAAATTCAGCGTAGTTTCTGCCGCTGAACAGCTGGCAAAAGAATAGCACGCGCCACCGACGCATGCATATTCTATGTCGCTACCATTGATGTAAAGCGAAGTGCGAAAGTTGGACCCGCATGTACTGAGTTGAGCTGTGACTGTGCTGTTTGGACAGAAGATGTGACGTCGGCCTGATGCATCTCCCTTCAAACTTGGCAGGCCAACGATTGAGCCAGTAACAGTGCTGCCACAACTAATTGGAATAGCTGTTGTGTTCTGAATGATGCAACTCAGCGACAGCGCGTAGTCCCCCTCTGATGTCTCGTCTCCACCTAGTGAGACCCGGTAGCACTCTCCAGACCTGCAAAACTAAGCCGTGCTGGTCACGCTAGGGGCCGAGACGTACGTGAAGGTATTCCGATATTGAACCGATATTGGGGTACATATGGAATTCAATCAGAGTAGCTGGTCAGGGCTGTTGTTCAGTTGGACAGGGGTTCAGGCCATGCCCAACCCAACCCCATAACCCCACGAGGTTGGCTGCATGCCGTGGATGAAAGAAACCCTACACCAGTTGGTAGATGGTTTCATTGACCCATTGAAATCCCATTATTTCCAATGTTTCATAATTACCAATAATTCCCGACTGGCGCAGGATTTCTTCCATCCACAGTAGGTGAATGTAGTAGGTGACCAATTTGATGTTTAAGATTTAAGATGGTGATTCGACACGTGCTCACTATACATTAGCGAAAACATGCGAAAACGACCGTGTCAGATCCAAGGAATATGCAACTGAACCCTAGCCCAATATCGCCCATACTTCCTCCATGCCTGAAGTTGAACCGAACACAGGCTGCATTGCATTCAGCGCTGCAATCGAAACTCTGTTGGGTAGCATTGGTGAACACCACCGGGCCGCTTCCAACGCCAGCACTGAAGTTGCTCCCGCAAGTGGACACGGAGGCTCTGCCAGAAGTACCTGGACAGAATATGAATGGCTGAACACCTGCTACAGTCTGAGGGCTCAAACTGGGCAAACCAACTGTAGAGCCAGTGGAATTTCTGCCACATTCAAGTACCTTCTGGTCGACGCAATCAATTGATAGAACGTACTCTCCCTCGCTGTTGGCAAATCCACCGACAATGACGTCATAGCACTCTCCAGCCTTGAAGTCAAATGTCAGAAACTCATTGTTTCCAAAACCCAGGCCACGGCGACAGGTCCCCAAGCCACAGTCATCGTCGCACTCACGATCGACATCTGTTCCATTGACATAGAGTTTGGTATCGAACCTGGACTCACAAGTGCTGACCTGGGCTATACCCGTTCTGTTGGGGCAAAAATGATGCACCTTGTCACCTGCTGGATCGTCCCTCAAACTTGGCAGGCCCACTGTAACACCCGTGACTTTGCTGCCACATTCAACTGGAAGAGCTGTTGCGTTCGGAAAAGTGCAATTCATGGACAGCACATAATCCTGCGCTGATGCTCCGAGTTCACCCACCAGGATTTCATAACACCTTCCGGACCTGCAGGGACGCTGCAAATTGAACCACGCTGGGGGACTCTCATGTGGTTTGTGCGTGGAATCAGCTGTCTAGTTCATCAAGCAGGCGTGTTAGCTATATACACAAGATATCACAAGATCTTGGTCTAAGTCGCATGGAATCGCTGCAAACTCCAGCAGGTTTGCGTTAAGCCATATAGCTGCATGGCTTTTGCCGCATGGGATCGCATATGATTCTTGAAATCGTTTTGACATCCACTGGTCCATCAAAACCACCATGGAAACACACCTGCTTTCGTATATTTATTTTGGGCATCTTTCCCATAAGTAAAATGGGGCCTGCCCTGGGAGACGTTTGTCACGTTTCTAACCTGGAAAAACCCTGAAAACCAAATTTATTTTTGTTATTTCGAAATTATGCAATCTTGTTTAGGCATGCTAAACTTGAAATCGCCATCATTCAGCAGCTCAAATTCTTTCGTCATTTGCTTTGTGCAAGCGCCTGATTCAAAGTGCCGTATCCAAGGGACAAACTCCCCCCCCCCCGCATGGCAAGTACAAGGGCCAAAAAACGAGGTCCAAAGAGGACCCAGGGAAACCTGGGTGGTACCTGCATGCACCACCACCCGCCTACCGGGTTCACAAGGTGAAATCGTGAAACCAAGGTGCCAAAAAAAATCTTAGTTCCAGCCGTAAAAGGATTTTTTTTGGGCAACATGTGCAAAATGGATACGCCACATGCAAACTAGACGACGGACGTCCTGAGAACGTAGAAGAGGATAGTTGCTCAGGTGTATGTTAAACTCTTCCGATGAGCAAACTACATGTCAGTATGAAAGAGAAGAGAGAGAAGAGTGATAAGAGAGAGAGAGAGAGAGAGAGAGAGAAAGAAAAAAGAAAGAAGCGAGAGAACAGAGAAGAGAGAGAATATGTACAGATGTAAGAACTGAAGACGTAGGATAGATGCAAGAAGTGAAGATGCAAGACGTCCAGATTAAGAAGAAATGATGTAAGATGTGAAGGTAAAAGATGCGCAGGTGTAAGAAGCGCAGATGCAAGGTGCGAAGATGCGAGGGGTCGAGATGTAAGATGTGCAGATGTCAGATGTGAAGATGCAAAATGTACAGCTGGAAGATGCGAAGGTGAACAGACGTGAGATGTGCCCATGTAAGACACGCATATACAGGATGTGCAGCTGTAAGATTGGTTGCAATTATAATGAGTGTGGTATGTCGTGGTGAAAATGACTTGCGAGTGTTGGTTGCTGTGATGTTTTGATTTGCAGAGAATGTGAACGTCCGCAACACTTTTTTTTTGGCCTAAACATCCTTTGATTGGTGGTCTGTGCGTTCACCGGCTCAAAATAACTACTGATACTACTGTATGTTTTCCACTCATTTTGCACTTCGACTGATGAAGCACGTTGCAGGCACATGACTTTCAAACAGTTTTACCAAAAAAACGGAAAGACTGGCAAAAAAAAAGAACCCAAACAACAAGCAATCAAAATCAAAAACTGAGACTACTTTTGAAACTACTCTCAGGCTTCCAGCGAGCGGAAAAAGGCCAAAGACAAAGGCACAAGGCACAAGACAGGTTCAGTGCAGATTATAGTGACCAAGGCAAACCAACCGCCTCCTCTGTCAATCCCCCATCCAGGCCTGAAGTTGAATTCGATACAGCCTGCGTTACAATCCGCCCCGCAGTCAGTATTGAGTTCTGCGGCAGTGCTGGAGACCTCTGTAAATGACCTGGAACCGCAAGTGGTTGCATAAACCCTGCCTGTAGCGTTTGGACAGAAGCTGAATGGCTGTCTGAAACCAGCTGTGGAGCCGGAGATGCTGCTGCCGCATTCAATGCTTATTAGTTCCCTGGTTGTGGTTGTTGTGGTTGTTGCTGTGGTGCCAGTAGAGGCATTCCTCTGCGGGCAACTGATTGATAGAACGTAATTTCCTTCGCTGTTGGCATATCCACCGACAATGACGTCGTAGCATTCGCCGGCTTTGAAGTCAAACATCGCACTTTCCTGTCTGCCAAAGCCGCAAGCCATGCCGCAGCTGCTGTCGTCACAGTTGAGATCAACACCTGGGCCATTGACATACAGCTTGGTATCATAATCGGATTCACAAGTGTCAACCAAGGCCGTCCCATCCTCTCTGGGACAAAACTTGTGCACTTGATCGCCCGCCCCTCCATCACCTGTCACATCTGGCAGGCCCACTGTTGAGCCGGAGACTTTGTCGCCGCACTGAATGGATATGGATATGGAACTTTGTACGTTGCAATTGATGGACAACACGTAATCACCCTCCGTCTCCGATCCGAATTTGCCCACCTCGATGTTGTAGCACTCTCCTGGCCTCGGGGTCTGTCAAGCTGGCAAGACAAGGCCAGGAATGGGAATCACAGCTGGGACATGCTGGGAAGGCACTTTTGATTGACTTAGGAGGAGGTGAGATGGGTGTTGCACCCCTATATACCTCTTACGTGATCTTGCCGGCATGGCTAGCTGAAACCTAAAACTATACTTCGTATAGGTGCTCACATATGCATACCACTGCAAACAAAAGAATGGCTGCGTCTTGCCCGCTCGCACATGTTCTAAGATTTTGCGCATGGGCCTTGCTTCTGCTGATTGGTCTGTTTATCTATGTACCGTTTGAAGCGATGTAAAACTTCTACCGGGGGCTTCTTCTTTCGTGTTGCTGACCGAGACTGAACTGACTGAACTGGATTCTCTTCTACGTTGCGTCTTGAACAGCTTCCCCTTCAGCAGGGGGGCAACTACACGTTTGCAGCTGGCCGCCCGACGGAGAGGGCTGCATGAGGCTGCACGCATTACTGATATGACTCTGGGACGCTATAGGGCCACCTACCTGCATCATGTCCAACTTCATATGGCAAGCGACCAAACCGAGAAACGCCAAGTCAATTTTGTCACTCCGTTTGTCGCAACCTGGTCTTGTCATCACGATCTGATTTGAAATAAAAAACAGCTGAAGACTGCGAAGATCTACAGCAGGATGGCTATCAAGTTAGCTTCATGGACGGATGACTCCTGCTTTTGTTTGCATCAGTGCATAAGATCCCTCTCCCACCCTCTTCCTCATAATTATCAGCTGTTGCTTTTTCCCCAAGCAGTGTACTGTTAGGGGTTCTTAATGCACAATCTTAAGGTGTCCGCCTTGGTGTTGTCCCCTTGTCTCCCCTGGTCTCCCTTCTTGCTTCCTTTTGTTGGATGGTGTGTCCGCCTTTCCTCACCGCCTTCCCGAGGTCGTGTCTCCCATTGTCTCCCCTTCTCTCCCCGCATGCGTGCCCTTGCTGGCTGGTTGCATATGGTTGCATGCTTGCTTGCTGGCTTTCTGGCTCGCTTCTGAAACAAATCCCAGGGGAATCTGAAAAAAAAGGGACTACGTAGCCGCAAACCAGCCACCACCTCTTTCAATCTCCCTTCCAGGCCTGAAGCCGAATTCGATACAAGCTGCATTACAGCCGTCACCGCACTCGTTATCCAGTCTTTGTGCTGTGGGATCGATGGTGTAGACCATTGCGTCGAAGTTGGAACCACAGGTGCTTGCCTGGACCCTGCCTGTCTCATTGGGACAAAATCGGTGTGATTGGACACCTCGAATCGAGCCAGAGATGTTGCTGCCACATGCGATATCTATCTTGGAGCTGTTCCTGTTCGCGCAAAGGATTGATAGAGCATAGTTTCCCTCTTGATCGCCATATCCACCCACAATGATATCATAACATGCTCCAGCCTTGAAGTCGAACAGCGCATTTTCCTTCAAATCGTCATTGCCACACGGTGGATAGCCATTGCAGTCGTCGTCGCAGCTGATATCAACATCTGGGCCATTGATATACAGCTCGGTATCAAAATCAGACTCGCAAGTGCCAACTAGGGCTGTACCAGTTTCAGTGGGACAAAATAGATGAAGTTGGTCACCTGATTGAAACCCCCTCAAATTTTGCAGACCCACTGTTGAGCCGGAAGTGGTGTCGCCACACTGAACTGGTACATCTGTTGCGATAATGCAAGTCATGGATAGCAAGTAATCCCCTTCCTGGCCGAATGATTCGACGAGGATTTCGTAGCACTCTCCAGGCCTGCAGGGAGTCAAGTTCAGCCAAGCTCGGGGCACTGAAGATAAGGGTCTTGATAAGGAATTGGAATGCGCTGGGATGCGAGTGTGCCCACACAGGGCTGTTCAGCTGAGTGTTGTCTTGCTTGGGACATATGATTCGTATCCACATTTTACTCTTGTCGCTGCTGATCAAAAGCACCGTGCTTTTTCCTTTGTTTTACAAAAGAACCGCTCACAACGAACAATGTGCCGCAAGGAACGCGTGTGCATACAAGAGAATCACAACAATACCGTTCTGCCAAAAAAAACGCTTGTGGAAAAAACTATTTCTTGGCCAAAAGACAAAATGCAGGGGCGTACTTGCATTTTCAAAGATCCTGCTATGCAAGGGGCGCCTTTGTGAAGCCCACGCACCTATGCCTGGCCACGGGATGGGCTTCATTGGGCGCCTTCGTGTCATTTTTCCAATGTGGAGATTTGAGCTGTGGATGTGGACACAAGAGCTCAAAACATGATGAAAGATGATAGAATGATAGAACATGATAGAACCACAATAATATAAAGCCTACGCGAAGAGGCTGTGAAAAACATTTTACGCAGAACCGTGACTGTCTATGCCCATCAAACTGCACAGTGCTTCGGGCCGTGCAGAACACAGGAGAACTTCTTTTGCAAGAAGACTCGGAGTTCCACTGGTTAACCACCTCTAAATTCTTGCATCCAAAGAGCGCTCAGTTGGAAATCCAACTATCAGACCAGTTCATGCCTTGTGCAATCATGAACTTTAATCTGCGTTGCGGGAAAAAACAGAGGCAGAAACGCCTTGAAGGTGCAGCAACGTCACAAGCTCATCCCCCTCGGTTTCATCACCTCTTTGCTCATTCTTTACATTTCTTTACAATCTTGCAGTGAGGTCGCACTGGCCGTCTGAGACCTCACACAGAATATTGAATCTGCCATCTGCCCTTACCTATCTACTCCACAGGAACAAGTTCGCGGTTTACTTCGAGTAGTCTGGAGGCTTTTCTTCGCTACTCGTGCATGTGCGTCCTAGGGGCCGCCATAGGTCTGGAATTGCAGCGCCGTAGCCCTACTGGGCACCCATCCAAGGCAGTGCTTTTGGTATGACGTTTTAGTTAGCAGTTTGGACACGCGTATGATTGTCTGTGTGTGAACCTGGCGCAAAACCCATGCGCGCTGTGACGTGTCAGCCTGTCATTGAAAATAGCCAGAATACTACGGACTTTTCATTGTCTGGCTGCCTATGCTTGGCCCTTGGCAATCTCAAAACCAACGCCCAGAAAATAAGACGAGTGGGACACCGCCTAACTGTCTGCACACAGCAATAGATCTTGTCAGCTGCAGGGCCAACAATCTGGTCCTGGAGGGGCCGCACTTGTAAAACCAATGTGCTCATGCTGTTTTTTTAAATAGGTCCCTCTGGAGCGTCACTCATCAAATTGAAATTTGCGCTGCCGGCGCAGTGCTTTTTTGATATTTTTATTGCCTCGATTGGGCTCAGTTGTCTCTTTGCAGGATCGGAATTCTAAGGCAAACATGCGAGAGCTCAAAGATGGGAAACCTGGGGCCAACATAATATGAAAGCCCAGGGATGACTTACGCTGGCACTGAAAGGACCTCTCTGGCAAATCTTCAAGCATTTGGCAATCATGAAGTAACAAAACTCAAAGCATCTCAAAGCGAGTGTTTGCCCGAATGCCAAGCTATGATTGATGCGCGCGACACATTCTATCAGAGCAGCAACAAACCAAACCTGCCGCCAGTCATTCCCAGATGCTTTCAACGTGAGCAAAATAACGGTTTTCCTTCAAAAATCTTACCCGCTGCACCACCCCATGCCATTGCCATGCTGGAAATACAGAGAGAGAGAGAGAGAGAGAGAGAAAGGGAGAGGGAGAGGGAGAGAGCGAGACAAACAGAGAGAGAGAGAGAAGCTTTATTGACTTATTGTGTCACTTGGATGAACTGAGCTGACGCTGAGCCAGTCTTGAGATGGTTGGGTCCGGCGGAAGAAAATATTGCAATCTGCAGTCTAAAACTACAAATTGCCAGCATCGCGCAGTTGATAGGACTCAGACGCGCGCAAACCAAAGTCAGCACCTCGGGTGTCCTCAGATCTAATGCTGGCCACGAAGGGGCCTACAAATGACATAATAGGATAAGGTTCATTGGAGATGTTGTAGGAAATTACGGCAGGCAAAGCGACTACCATTTTGATCTCAATATGGCTCCCGTCCAGGCCTGAAGATGAATGCAATACACTCTCCACTATTGCATGTCTGGCTGCAGGGCAGTGTAGTCGTATTGCTGGAGACCCCTGGAAAGAAGCTGGAGCCACAGGTGCTTGCCTCGACCCTGCCTGTCTCGTTGGGACAAAATCGGTGTGATTGGACACCTCCAATCAAACCAACTGTAGAGCCAGAGATGTTGCTGCCGCAGTTGACGTTGGTGGGCAGATTGAATTCACTGCCTGTAGACAGAACCGACTGAACAGACCGCGCAGTCATCGCAGCTGCAATCCATCTTCCTGCGAAGAAGACTGCAACGACTGCAATGTTCGATTTAATTTCCGGCGGCATGCCTAACACAGAAGGACTATGGCCAAGAAGGAAATATCACAGCAACATACAGTACTTGCGTGTACTTGCAACTACAGTCACCTCTAAAGGAGAATTAACTAGCGGGTTTTTCTGTCACATACCAGTGTTCAACAGAATTCAGCATATTGAACCACACGTCAGATTCTGACAACCTGACAACCGCATGTGAATGATGGTGTACATGATGTGACGCTTTAGGTCGGGCTGGCTCAAGAACTCTAGGGTACACTTGTGGCTACCCTTGGACCAGTCCTGGACCATTGATTCACCCAAACAGCACCTTCATGATATTCATGGCAATCTCAAACCTGTTCACCACATGATCAGACCAAGTGCATCCAAGTGCCATCATTCTGTAAAAAGCAGAGCAAGCTCTTTCACCCCGGCCCCCAGCAATCCCAGGCACGTGCCATTCTGCTTTGAAGACAACAAGCACGAAACAAACCAGCAGACAGACAAGCAAGACAAACAAACAAGACGCCCACCCGCACACACACTCACTCACTCACAGGCTAGTCTTCCACGTAGGTGCACGGCTCGCACAGAAAGACACTTGTGTCTGCCGGGTTACAATCCCAACAACCAACATCAGTGCTTGCATGAACACACCCGGTCACAAATCGCCCGCATTTGGCCCTCCCAATCATGCACGCGCATCCAAGTACTGATGACTTGGAAAATGTTGTAGTCCGGAACCCTCTCCATCCTCTCTTCTCATCCCCAGCTCTCTTCAAATCCCCACAAGATAGGACCCAAAATGACCCAAGTTACAGGCAGCAAGCTGCTCTACACACGAACAACCCAATTGTCAGCCATGAAGTGTGGATTGTTTTGGAACGGGGACTGCCGCAAATGGACCTTTTTTTTCCCGCTAAAATACTGCACAAATGTTAGGCACGATGAATAACAACCACGTAGCTGTATCTACTGCGGGTGTCAACGCCCCAAGTGTATTGCCTCTTCTGAGCAAAGGCGAGATATCCGAAACGTGAAACGCATCATGACATCCTCCAAAAATCCTACTTCGCTCTTACTTCACTTCCAGGAACTTCTTGGTAATTCCGTACCTGTGCAAAAGCGCAATGAGAGGATTTGAAGCGGCACAGATTTGAAACTGCACAGTTCATCAAAATTTCACGCAGCTGCAGCCCAGTACCTCTGCTCCAGGAATTGACCCAACTCCTGGTCCACCTTGCAGCGAGTCTTGGTGCGGTGATGGTTTGTGGCTGGTGGTGGCAAGTTTGGCAAGCTGACACTCCCAGAATACTCACAGATTTCCATCAGGTTCTGAACGCTTCGTAGAAATTTGCTTATTTTTTCCTCTTAAAGGTCCTTTGCCCAAGACGAACCAAGGTCAACAAAGGTTCAATAGAGTGGGTGCTTTTTCGTAGAGTGGGGATCTGGATGGAGCTGGGAAGTGCAAGAGCTTGCGCATGGTGCTTGGATCCCTAATATGCGATGCCTTTTCAAAATGCAAGGTTTGTTACCAACAAATACACAGTATAGCGTTTCCAGAGCACATATCTTGGTACCAGTAGATGTTTTTTGCACGGTCCGTCTCATCGCGTTTTGCACAATTTGTAGCGTTAAAACCGATGTTCAAACATTGTGGTTTACCCTTTGGCTTTGGACTTGCCTTTACGAGTCATGATTGTGAAAAATGATTTGCAAGCATCCTTGGGGTACGAGTACTAAATGTAAACTTATCAAACTATATCAATCTCTTTGTCTATCTATCTTCTTCGACTTTACCCATTGATATCAATCTATATTTATCTATATTTATCTATATCTATCTACATCGATCTAAATCTATCTATATTTATCTATACGTAGTTTTATATATTTATCTATATTCATATTTTGATCATGATCTTCGTATTATCTTACCTGTAACTGCTGTGTCTTTACATAACTCATATTTCTGTCTCTATATCTCTATCTCTTTAAATTTCTGTTACTCTATATTTGTCTCTCTATCTCTCCCTCCCTCCCTCCCTCCCTCCCTCTCTCTATCGATTCATCTACCTATCTACCTATTTACCTATCTACCTATCTATCTACCTACCTACCTGGCTGTCTGTCTGTCTGTCTGTCTGGTCTGTCTGTCTGTCTGTCTGTCTATGTGTGTGGCTGTCTGTCTGCCTATCTATCTATCTCTGTCTATCTATCTCTTTATCTCTGTCTAAGAGTGTACCCATCTCTATCTATGTCTATCTTTATCTATCCCTGTCTATTTCTGTCCATCCCTGTCTGTCTATCTACCTACCTAGCTATCTATCTATTTATCTTTCTATCTAGCGACCCATTGATCGATCAATTGATCCATCGATCTATCTATCTGTCTATCTGTGTGCCTATCTATCTATCTATCTATCAATCTATCAATCAATCAATCTTTCTATCTTTCCATCTATCTGGCTGTCTATCTACCTACCTATCTACCTATCTACCTATCTATCTATCTACCTGTCTACCTACCTACCTACCTACCTACCTACCTATCTATCTATCTATCTATCTATCTATCTATCTAATCTATCTAGCTCTCTCTATCTATCTATCTATCTATCTATCTATCTATCTATCTATCTATCTATCTATCTATCTATCTATCTATCTATCTATCTATCTAATCTATCTAGCTCTCTCTATCTATCTCTATCTCTATCTACCTCTATCTATCTATCTCTATCTCTCTCTATCTCTCTCTCTCTATCTCTCTCTCTCTCTATCTCTCTCTCTCTCTATCTCTCTCTATCTCTCTCTATCTCTCTCTATCTCTCTCTATCTCTCTCTATCTCTCTCTATCTCTCTCTATCTCTCTCTATCTCTCTCTATCTATCTATTCTATTCTATTCTATTCTATTCTATCTATCTATCATTATCTATCTATCTATCTATCTATCTATCTATCATTATCTATCTATCTATCTATCCACCCATCTATTTATCTATGTCTATCTATCCCTATCTAGCTATCTTTATCTATCTGTATCATCTCCTTGTGAATTTCAACGGTCACCCAGTGTGCCCCATTCTATAGAGGTACCTGGGTTCCAGTCTAAAATCAAGAAAAACTCAGATTGCAAGAAATACGTCTCTATAAAATCAAGAAAAAACAAAGCACCACATCATTGCTTGCAAAAACCAAATCTCTATGCAAAATCTAGGAACAGTGTTAGAGTTGGAACACCTTTCTCCCCTTAAAGTCATCCACCTGGTCCACTATAAAATCAGGATTTCCAAACTGGTGGTTTTACAAAGTCTTTTGAAACATGTTGACCCTCAATATTGGGGTACCTATCTCTGATTTTATAGTGGAGCTGTTTGAAAGGGATGTCAATAGAAGCGGACCTGGGTCCTCGATTTTATAGAACGGCTTTTTCTTGGGATGGCTGCTACCATCAACTTCCATAGGTTGCTGAATCAGCTTCGCATCAGAAAAAAATAACACCAACAATAATCAACAATATATTATATAAATGAAAGAAAACAAACCTGAGAAGGGGTGGAACGAAAGCCAGCGCTTGCTTTTTGACTCGCGCGGGGGCGCGTGAAACTCCACCTCATCCATATGGCATGGCTCAAACATGAAGCGCCCCAACATCAACAATTGCTATCGGGTCATAATTTTCCAATCATTAAATGGACCTTTTTAGGGTAAACTCCACGATTTTGTAACTTCTATATCCAAATATGTTTCCTACAATGTACTGCGGCATTGTGAAAAGTTCTATCTCAAGTTCCGTAAATCCGCCTTTGGTTGCTCATTTATCTTAAAACAGCGCAAGTTTGCTCCCACCTATTGTAGATAAAAAACACCCGCTTTTTTGTGTGAACAGTGGTCATGTGACCTCTCAAAGTCTAAATTGTTTTCTCCCCAGAATCGTGGTCCATGCTTCTCCGCGAAGTTCCGCAACATTTTGGCCGTACGGTGAGAAATCAAAACATAGCTCTACTCGCAAAATGGGCAGTGCAAACCCAAGACAATATTATAACATACGTAAGAAAGGGTATAAGAACGAATGAAAGTCGAGGAAAACAATGCAAAACCCACGGGTAATATAGAACAGTGGCGAACATGCAGTCCAAATCAAAAGTATATATATATATAGGCCATTTACAGACCTGGGTCCCCCCCCCCACCCCCCAAGGGTCTGGAAAATAGGTATTTTACAGGAAATGTCGCGGAATAGCATCATCCCTGACATCGATAGAGATAATTGTTTGGCATCCCGGAAAATCTTCTCAGCTATCACACTCGCCAAACATCCCTTTTAAAAGGCACACATACTATCACGGACGTACAGATGCATATCATTCCCGTCATTGCCATTAGAAGATTCAAATTCTTTCTCGATGTTTTAGTACAAGATTCACTTTTAGTTCTGTTTCAGCCTTCTCAGTACGGCCTCTTACAATGATATTACAGCATTTGTCTCCTAACCTAGGTGGCTCCTGGGTGCAATCTTCACTCCAATGCTTTGTGACAATAACCAGAGGCCTGGAGCCTATGCATCACTTGACAGTCGACTCAGTTCTAAACCGGAAAGACTATTCCTTCCGTTTACCAGTAGATCGTTTTTGTCGTAGTTCTTATCACAAAACTACCAGAATCAGGGAGGCACCAAAAAACGTCAAACAGCTTTAAGCATTATAAATACTCTAATCTGCAGATTGTATTTATTTTTCTTACTCTGTGAACGGACTCACACTTTTCTAACTTCACACAGATTACCATGAAACCAATTTTCCCATGCAACTCCTAAATCTTACAACTCATACATCTTTTTTCCTATACCATCCGCATCTTGCTCCAAGGTTTCATGGCAATGTCTTGTACGCGAGTCAGCCACTATTTCCTATCACCAAACTACATTGCTCATCATCTAACATTATCTACAGAAACCAAATCGGATTTCCTGCTCAACGTTTCCGCTCGTTAACATTGTCTTGGTTTTCACTATATTTTTAAAGCA